GAATTTGCTAGCGTTTAAAAGGGTTTAGATTCTTGTTAAAAACTTTTTCTCTCTCTCTTAAGGAGACCCACTGAAAATTAACAGTGGCGCTCGAGAAAAACTCACAAAGCCAGTCATTATAAAGGCAGGTGAAAATGCCCAGCGGAAGCTGCCGTTCTCAGGTGGAGCACCAATGAATATAGAGAGGTACAGGGATGATGGCGAGCTTTTCCCTGCCCTCAATGTGAATACTGAAACATCAGCTTCTGAGAGCCCAATACTTCAGGGTGTTTGCTAAAAATGCTAAGGGCTTTTCATCACCCTCCAAGTCCCCTGTGTTTGAAACCAAAAAGGTTTGTGCCTCAACCTCAATCATAAAGACAGTCTGAAACTCAGAATCAGTTCACACTTTACTGTACACAACACTAATCAAACTTTTGAAAGCTCCTCCAGATCCACAGGTACTGTAATATCAGAATCAGCTTTATTGACCAGGTGTGTCAGACACATGAGGAATTTGACTCTGGTACATCAGCTCTCAATGCGTATGTACATATCTCCATGCAAGGGGCAAGTAAACAGTAAACCAACATAAGTCTGTGTAATATAACAAAATAAACAGTATAAACAGACAGTAAACAATGCAGACAAACAAAGGAATGTTCACTGAAATGAGATAAATAGGAATAAAAACAGAGTACTTAAAAATAGAGACCTGTACGAGTCTGTATAATCTGTACGAGGTATATTTACAGATATTGCACTGAGGGTTATTGTCCAGTCCTACTGTCGTTGGTTAAGTGTTCATCAGAGTGACAGCCTGGGGGAAGAAACTGTCCCTGTGCCTGGTTGTCTTGGTGCACAGTGACCTGTAACGCCGTCCAGAGGGGAGGAGTTCAAACAGTTTGTGTCACGGGTGATCCTCTGCTGTGCCTTCTTGATGATGGTCCTGATGTTGGATGTCCACTTCAGGTCCTGGGAGATAGTGGAGCCCAGGAACTTGTAGGACTTTATTGCTGATACGATGTAGAATGAAAACAGCAGAGGGGAGAGCACACATCCCTGGGGGGCGCCTGTGCTTATTGTCCAGGTGTTAGATGTGGTTTTCCCCAGCCTCACCTGCTGCTTCCTGTCTGTCAGAAAGCTCGTAATCCACTGAGAGGTGGGAGCAGGCACAGTGAGCTGGGTCAGTTTGGAGTCGAGGATGTCCGGGATAATGGTGTTGAACGCCGAGCTGAAGTCCACAAAGAGGGCCCGTGCACAGGTCCCTGGGGAGTCAAATTGTTGCAGGATGTAATGCAATGCCATGATCACTGCATCGTCCACCGACCTGTTTGCCCAGTAGGTGAACTGCAGGGGGTCTACGATGTCCTTCAGGTGGGCCAACACCAATCTGTCAAAGGACTTCATAACTACAGATGTCAGGACGACAGGTCTGTAGTCGTTCAGTCCACTGATGGAGGATTTCTTGGCGACTGGGATGCTGGGTCAGTTTGGAGTCGAGGATGTCCGGGATAATGGTGTTGAACGCCGAGCTGAAGTCCACAAAGAGGGCCCGTGCACAGGTCCCTGGGGAGTCAAATTGTTGCAGGATGTAATGCAATGCCATGATCACTGCATCGTCCACCGACCTGTTTGCCCAGTAGGTGAACTGCAGGGGGTCTACGATGTCCTTCAGGTGGGCCAACACCAATCTGTCAAAGGACTTCATAACTACAGATGTCAGGACGACAGGTCTGTAGTCGTTCAGTCCACTGATGGAGGATTTCTTGGCGACTGGGATAATGATGGAGCGTTTGAAGCAGGAGGGGACTTCACACAGCTCCAGTGACCTGTTGAAGATGAGTGTGAAGATGGGGGCCAGCTGATCAGCACACACTTTCAGGCATATGGAGGCTTGTAGTACTTCTTGTGACAATTAAACTGAACTGCAAGTGTAAAATTCAATTATGTGCGCACTGCCTCAATGGGTGGTTTTCCATTTACCTGTTTTTATCTGCATTTTCAATTTGCACAGAAAAAAAACATGACTTGAAATCGAGTGGAAACAGGTTTTTACACTTGACTGAAGTGGAAAAGTTTATATAAATGGCAATTTATTTATATAGCGCATTTAAAAGCAACAGCAGTTGACCAAAGTGCTTTATAATAAGTTAAAACAAGAAAGAAAACCAAACGAGCTACAGACAGGGCATTATAAATTCTTGTAAAGTCTCATGTGACTATAAGGATACTTTTATTGTTCCTAAAGTTTTAGTAAGTTGTTAGTGTAGTTAAAAATGACCCATTTCACATAGGAACTTTAAAAGAAAGCTTTCTATAAGCTGTCTGGGTGTGCATTGGAGGTTTGGTGATTTACATTTTGGACATCTAGCTCTAGCTGTGATTTTGTTTCTGAGCTTTTTGCACACAATGTGGTCCTTGCCTCAGTGAGATCCACCGTACTATACATGAGTAAATAAGTGAGTTATAGCCAGGTCCATAAGGTGCTTGGTATGAGAAGTAGTACTAAAGTCAAGTAATTTACATAAGCACATTTTAAGTACTTGAACGTTTGCCTTAGACATTTTATTTGAGCTCCACTACATTTCAGAGGGAAACAGTATTGACTCCAATATATTTACCAGTTTTTCTACAGTTCTGATTAGAGCTGCAACAATTAGACGATTAGGAAAACTAACCAGTCAGTACAGAAAACTATTTTGACTTGTCAAGCAAAAATCCCAGCAGTTTCTGGCTGTTCCAGCTCTTCAAATGTGATTTGGTTTTGACTGTGAATTACCTTTTTCCTAACTTTATAAAATTTCACTAAACAATCAAAAAAAAAACTATCGGCATGTCAATCGATAGCGAGTGAAAATAACGATTAGTTGCAGCCCCTAATTGTTTTATTGCACTTCAGTACTGGATTTGACACCATTAACATAATATGCTGTCGCGCTCCCAACGCCAGCAGCTGCTTTGAATATTCTAATGGTCTAGTGAAGGACCAGGTCGGAGTGTTCAGGAGAGACGCGATACCTTAGTAAATCCAGATGAGAAGCCACACTTTGCTGAATCCATTTCACTGAAAACATCGGCCCAGTCTCTTTGCTGCTGAAATGGCCAGGGGCAAGCCAGAAAGACTCCATCAAAGACACCTTTACGGAGTTTTCCCCACAGTCCAGGAGCTGGATAAGCCCCAGTGGTGGTTTTGTTTGCAGCACACACTCCACTGAATGTTTTACCACAATGCAAAAGAGGGCGGTAAACTTCCAACAGGTGGAAATAACGAACGCACCTGTAACGTTAACTTAGCTTAACGTCGTGTTTTCTACTTCAAAGTAAAAATTTACATTTTCTCACTTTCTTTTGTATCTTGTACCAGTTTGAGACCAATGTGCTTGGAGTGATTTTGGCATATTTCGCCAAACAGAGGGGCTACCTGTCACGCACACGTGACTTACCTAGGGGAAAAGTGATTTCGTCAAGGTGGGCGGAAACTGCGGAAGTTAGGCGATTTGGGCTCCAAAATAAGAGCATTACATTTGTCAATTTTATAAATAAAAATAAATAAACGTTACAAATATATAAATAAAAATCCCTCCTTGACAAAACATTTAGTAACTTGTATGTATTTTTTCATTCAGAATATAATGATGCATATAATATAATACATTTGAAAACAAAGTTACTGATCATAACACCTGTTGTTTTATTCCACATGGGTGGAGCATAAGGATTGCTTTTGTTTGTGAAGTGTGAACAGAAAGAATTGGGCCCATGGAACGGAATGAAAAGAATCGAGGTCCTGGGTGTGACTTGAACATGGAAGTCCTCCTCCTATAGGATTCTGTGGTAGAATTGGCCGAAGTCATTTAGATCTTTGAAAAATTATCATAATAAATTAATTTGTTATAAATGAAGAGTAATTTTACAAATGGCAAGAATAACATAGAACATTATATAACGACAATAGATTTTTGTTTGTTTATTACTTTTTGTTGTTGTTATGTTTTGTTTTTTGCAATATTTGCTAAAGAGGATGTGCTTAAAGCTTGCAGTACTATCATGCAAGTACACGTATAGTGCCTCTCACTGTAAAGTTATTTATGGTACAACTATACATTCTGGTCACGTGAGTAGGTCTGCGACTGGCACATAGAGCCTACTGATCTCTTGTCGTCATGCTCTTTTGTATAAAAATTTAAATTACTATTTTCTGCTAGGAGGTGGTGCCTCTTGGGTGGCCAGGCTGCATTTACAAACAATGTGGTGTGTAAATAAGGGTAAAACACTAACTGGCAACTAACCTAAAATGAAGGGTTAAAGTAATTACGGTACATTAAATTCTTAGGACAAACAGCAGGCCACTGTGGCCCAGCCATGCTTGGTAGAAAGTATGACAGACACAAAGGGAAATGGAGAAGCTGACAGATAGATCAAGTTTCTAACAACTACAATTTTTATGGGTCTTGAGCCATATGTACATTAACATTGAATGGTAAACTCATCAGTGTTACGTTAATTTTTCAGCACTAATAAAGCAAAGATAATGCACTCTTCTCATTGTTTTCCCTTTTTAGGTGTCTAAATTGCTAATCCTAATACATACAAGTGTGTCATGGAACATACTGAGACAGGTATGTAAGCTTGTCTTAACAATCAACCCACACAGCCTCGAGATGTAAAACCAGAGATCTTATCTTAAGCATTAGTTTCAGTAGATTTTCTCATTTCTAACAGCCTTTTTTGTTAACACAAAACTGTATTAAATAACTTATTTTTAATGCACAGAGATGAACGTGTCCTTATGCATCACAGTAAGTGTACTAATCTATGTGAAAATTAAACACACAGATGAAAGATGAAACACCATAATGTGACTAATAATGCTTTAGACATTTTACTGAATGACTGTGAGTCCCTTTAAAATGCTGCTGTGAAATCCTTGTATGCACACACACACACACACACACACACACACACACACACAGAGCAGCCCGCCTACTCTCCAGTCCCACCACTTCCTCCACTGGTCTCAGTCACACTTGTGCTTTTCCTTCACTCTCATCAGCTATGCAGTATCTTACCATCACATGAAGTTACTCGTGAGTTACTCGCTTTAACTAAGTAAAGAGCCGCATCAGCATTTTATATCAGGATGGATAACAAATTCATTCATCAGCAGCTTGTTTAGAGATTTTTGTTTAAGAAGAGCTTTTTAACTTTTTGGAAGTTCAGTACTCTGGACCACATTACAGCTGCATGCAGTGGCCTTAGCAGCTCTCAGTGATGTCATCTATACTGTCTTACAACAAAGAGCAGCCTCGCATTAAAAAGTCACTCTCTGACTCCTCTACAACTTCATCCACTCCCACCACCAGGAGCCTGAGGGTAAGGCCTGATGTCTTTCATCTCGTCAGTGTCTGTTTATTTAGTAGAAATGCCAAATAATGCAAACATGCTGCAATGCAAATGTGTTTGTATTTTGCCATAGAACCTTAGGACATGCTGTAGATAATTCAGTCTGAATGTATGGCACAGCCTATGTGTAGTCCTGCTTCACTAGAAATAAACTCATGACAGCTGTTGGAATAGAAATATTTTTTTTCTAATATCTTCTGATCAACTTTAGAATTCTTATGGTACTATCAGTATTATACTAATGTTCCTTATGCTATGCTGGAATTAAAAGAAGGCACAACATGTAAAAGAAGAATTTCACAAAAGTTAGTGTTGCTGTTTTATGAAGTTATGGTTTCACTTCCACTTTGCAGTTTTATCAGTGGATTATTTATTAAATCATGCTGTTTTGAGTTAAGCAGGTTTTTCTAAAGCGCAATCTTTACACACACACATTTATGGGTCAGACTTTGCCTTGCTTTGAAAGGCCTTTAATAACTAACAACAGCTATAAAAGAAAATTACATGTCAATGTGCATGAACAACAAAGATCAAAACTTGAAAATGCAACAGTGGAAAGACAGTAAAGAACAGTTAGTCTGTTTATGTTTATGGAAACTAAGAATCCACTTGGGAAAGATCAATGGAGAGACATGGAGAATGCCAGTATGTGAGACAGAGGGAAGAGAGGAAGATGAGAGAGAGTGAGAGAAAGAAAGCAGGGGGTGAGAGACAGGAAGACAGAGAACAGAGAGAATGAGGGATTGAGTGCTTAGGACTCGGCCTGTGGGAACTGAGACACAGTATTTATGGATGTTTATCTCTCTGCTAGTCCTACGAGAAGCTCACATTTTCCACTCATCAGCAGACAAAGTTCCTTTTCAGATCTAGAAAAGCTGGGGGACAGTTTAATGACTGAGACACTCATATACATGGGACAAAGTTAGTCTACTTTTTCATCAGCATCTGTTTATATATGATGTCCCTTAAACGAAACCAGGGCTTTTCCCAAGTCTGTGCACCATATATTATTAATGACTGTTTACCAAGCGTATCTAAATGTCCACAGGAGCTTACATCAGAGTCTGGTGAAGATCCAGAGACCTTGTAAAGGTCTGAGTGTTTGCATATAGTGTCTCTAACTTAATGGCCCTTTTCTTCTTTACAGAAATTCACTTGCCATCGCCATGATTTTGTTAGACATGTAACTTCTTGAGCATTGATCACCAGTCTGCTTATTGCTTTTGTTTACGTGACTCTCTAAGAGGTGTCTGGTCTAAAAGAATGCAATGCTAAATGAAACTGCATGTACTTCTTACTGTGTGAACTGATTTAAAACTTGTCTTAACCCCTTGTTATGTCTCATGTAGAGTACTTTCAAAGGCCTTGCTGAATTTAAAGCTGAGCCTGATGGGAATGTCATTTGGTCATAAATTAAAGTACCTGACACATTAAAATTTTTACCTGATGATGGTGCCAGATGAAATGTTAGGTCAGTACAATGCCTTCACCAAATTTCATGAAAATCCATCCAGCAATTGTGAAGCTATTTCAGGCTGCACCAAAGTAGTGGACCAATCAGTTCACAGACAATTCCTTCATACTGCTATCACAACTAAAAACCTAAGCACTGGTCCTGCAGCAGTGAATATATTTTCAGCTGTTTGTTTGAGGGGGATGCAGACAGCCTGTCAAACAAATGGCAAAGTCAAACACTGTGATGTCAACATTTGTGCAGTAATGACCATTTACTGACATAGATAACAGGGTCAAGTTGGGGCTGAATGATGTGTTTATGCTTCATAAGTTTTAAATTGGTATTAAGTTCAGTCAAAACCTTGTAGTTTAGAACAAAGTAGAGCAGCAGCTGAGTTACAGACTGACATTTCCATCCTGGAGCCAAAATGCATTTATTTGTCCATCCCCTTGGCAGGACTGCATAATTTGTCTGTAAGGTCCAAGAACATTACAAATCAATGTTGAAAAAAGAAATTGGTTTTGTGATGTGGCAGCACTGTGGACAAGGATTTGCTGGGTTTACATGCAAAAAACAATGTGGTTAGGTTTTGGGGAAAATTATGGCTTGGGTTAAAATACTTCATTAAGGCCAGGGGACTTTGGTTGTCATGGTGACACTAACATGATTGCCATTGTGGTTTAAAACTCCTACTGCATCTATACGCCACTTGGGGGCATTTTCTGAAACAACTGATGCTGTCATTCCTCTTGGGACATCTCGGCAACTGGATTTAAATGCACTTTTATGTCCTATGGACAATTATTTTTGTAATGTAATTCAAAGTACAGTAATAAAAACTTGCCTTGCCAATGTGTACATAAAGAATGGGTAAGGATGAACCTGAATAAATGAGTGGAAAGCATACTGCACTGTACTGTACTGTTTCCATAGAGAGCACCAGGAGTCACTGAAAAGTTTGGTGAGTATATTCTCTGGTCTTCAGATGCCAACTAAAGTGAACACCTCTGGGAGATTTTGGACCAGTGTGCTAGGCGACACACTCCACTACCATCATCATGAAACCAAGTTAGGGAATATCTTTTGGTTAGAATGGTGTTTGTCATCCCTCCAGCGGAGTTACACAGACCTGGAGAATCAATATCAAAAATTATTCTTATTGGTGATGTAAGAATTATTATCCCTCACCCTCAGTCAAGCAGTGTACTGTACATCTTTAGCCATGTGAAGGGAGTGTGATAATTCGACTATCACTGATGCTTCCACTCTGTTCTTATGCTTGAAAATCTCTCAGTTCACATGCTGTATAACTCTTCCAACTTTAACAGGCAGTGGTGAACAAATTGTCATGGCCACTGCCAGAGCTGTTACCTTTTTTGGAAATGTTTAGTTATCTGTGCTTGTCGGTTTGTTTAAGCGGTCATTTCCTCTCTCCTTCTTTTATTTGACTTGGTATTTAAAGCTGCCATAAACCTTTTCTTTCTGTCTTTACTCTTTTTTTGGGAGGTGGTATCTTTCCTAATGAATTCCTGTTAGTATCACTGATACACAAGATATTTTGTCATTAATACTCTTTTCAGTGTTCATAATACTAAACTGATCATGAATGTACTTGTTCATTTAGTAATAAAATATGTCCTGTGTGCATAATAACTGCATGACTCTTTTCTGGTTTACCACGATGCACATCGGATCTGATAAGACCAGAAGAAGAGAACACGTTACACACATCCTTAAAGGTTTCGCACTTGCTTCCTGTTAACTTTCACATCGATCTTTTCATTAGTCAATAAGGCACTACATGGTCTTGCACAAAACTGTTTATAAGAATGCTTTTAATTTATGAACCAAGAAGACCTCTCAGATCCTTGGTCCTTCTCTTTTAGCTGAGCTAAAAAGCAGAACGAAAACCTGTGGTGAAGCTGTTTTTAGTCTTTGCTCTCTGACTAGTCCCATGTCAATGTCTTGTAAAGTGCTTTGAATTGCATTTGACTCGTATGACTGGTGCTTTATATAAATAAAATCTGACTGAGCTTGAACTGCATGTTTATGATATAAAAGAAATGTCCAACATGGTGCAAAATATAGCCTCATTTGCGGATTTGATTCTATTCTTTACCTAATAAATTTCCTATAATCAAACAGCCTGTCACACAAAGGATGAAGTTAAGTTGTACTGTGTCATCATTTGTACAGTAATGAGCATCTGCTAAAGTAGAAGGGGCGTCATGATGGAGCTGAATGGTTTGTTTAAGCCATAACATGTTTAAGCTGGTGTGAAAATGATCAAAATCCTTTTAGTTTAGGACAAAGTAGAGGACTGACTGATTTCCAACCCAGAGTCAAGTTGTTAACATGGCTAAGAATCAAAACATTTATTCTGTAGCTCTGAATATATATATTTTTGTATTGTTGTATTTGAGAGTTAAATACAGCTGAAACCTTAGATAAATTAATGGAATACAATTCAATACAATTTCTTCCATTGGCGTTGTCATTGCATATTTCACTCTGGTCAGCTGATCACTTCTAACACATTTCTCTTTCTATTGCAGCATGAGGGACTGTCTGGGTAAGCGTCCTCTAATGTAATTCACTACATATAGAAGTAATTAAATTATTGTTGATGGAGCTAAACCTATGTGTGAAACATATAATACCTCTTCTCCTTCATCAGACTGAGAACATCTGGAAAGACTGATGTTTCTCATGACACATCAACAAACCATGCTGAATCCTATTTTTTGCGGAGGGAGAACAGACTGTCTGCAAAAAAAAAGGCAGAAGAAGAGATAGCAAACAATGAATATAAAAAGGCAGGTGATACAGTTTGAATCTTGATGTACAATATTTCTAATGCTTATTGTTGATCTGCAAAAAAAATGTGTGCAGTGTTCAGGTAAAATAAAATAACTCAGTAAACTTATTTTAGAGCTTCTCAGCCAAAGATTTTCAGCAGGCACTTTAACAGGCTGTTTTACAGAATAATCACCACCAAGGTGAGTGACTTTATCAGTTAAACAATGAAAATTAGCCTCTAAGTTGCAAGATATCTGTCTTAAACATTTCAAATAGTACGCTACAAAATGTCATGCAGCATAAACAGTTATTTTTTTGACTGACAGAAAATTAATTGGCAAAGATTTTGATAAGTAAGAAATATACAAAGCAATTTATTTGGCAATTTTTTTTATAAATTGTCTTAGTTATTTGTTTTATATCATTGTAAATTCAGATTTTGGGGTTTAGGCATCATTTAGGGCTAAGGGTCTAGATGAGTAATCACAGAAAGCATCTAATAATTGCTGATAAATTACACTCAAATGTGAACGTCTTGGTGACATTAGATAAAAAGTCAGGGAAATGCCTAAGCCTGAAAATGTCATTATCTGGTCATCATGAATATATGCACAAAATTAAATGACAGTCCACTGAATGCTTGTTGAGATATTTCACAGATGAACCAAAAATGTCAATGCTGAAACACTCCTTTGGAAATCCTAACAAGTGCGCACTTTGTAGATGTACGAAAAGGCACTGGCCACCAATCAAAGGCTCAAGTCCAAGCTGGAAACAAGCAAACAGGAACTCGCCATGATTCAGGACCAGCTGCAGAGAGCACAGGTACTTTCCTTTGAATACAGTAACTGACAGTCAGTGTCCATAATCCAGATCTGGAGGTGTGAAAAAACTCATGCTAAAGTTTTGCTAAAGGAGCAGTTGAAAAAGTAACAAAAGTTTCTGCAAGTCATAATTTAAATCACTGTGACTTTTCTTCTCAGCACATACATATTCTTCCACATATTCTTATGATGATACCAAGTGATAATGTAATGTGGAAGAAATGTGGCATGAAGGATAATAGTTCTACCAAGATGCTGTAGCGTTAGCACTGTCAGGTGTCAGGTCTGAAAAAGGGATAATAACGGGCTGCTTTAGAGTCTGTGTGTGTGTATGAGACTCTATATATATTGTTAATTTTACATCACACACATGCACCTGTGATGAAAATGCAACACCTAAAATAAAAACAGTTGATTAAAGATAACAACCTGTCTTTTGTTGCAGAAGGGAAAACCAGGAGATTGTAGCTCCAACATGCTTGAAGCAGAAAAAAAGGTATGGACTACTGATGTTAAGACATGTTTTTACAATATTTGGTTTAATTGCTTTGTATTAATTATGTTTAATAAATGTTCCTTTACATAGGAAAGTTGTAGTCTTAAGAAAAGGATAACAGAGATGGAAGAACAACTGAAGGTAATTAAGCTAAATATTTATATTACATTTAAAGTTTCCTGTTTGCTGTGATATACGTGTTGACTTTATTAGGCTATAGAGTTCTCTTTCACACATTTAAAAATGCAACAGCAGAATCTCTTATTTGGGAGAAAGTTCATCTTATTTGACATGAAGGAAACAAATAACCCAATGCAAACAGTGTGAGTGTGAGATGTAGTGCCATGGCGTTAGCAGGTCTGTATACAATGGTTTTAGTTTACCTCATTTGTCACCGTTATTCTCTGCTGGCTGGGGAATGTGAGAGCTCTTTGACTCTGCAGCGAGTGAGTCATCAGTATTCATCTGCAGCCTACTGCTCACAAATGTCCCTTGTGTTATTCTCAAGACGATACAAACAAAATCCTCTTGTTGTGCATGAATGTGAGAACTAAAACAACACGGGATGCTGATTTCACAATGAATGTGCACAATAGGGAACCGCTGTTACATTTATTTAGATGAACAAATCTAGTCCAACTGTGTTTCTGTTTCAGTGATTGCAAGTCTACAAGTGTGCACGTATTTGTTATATTATAATAAATTGTTTTATTGTGAAGCCAGTTTCCTTTCTAGATGAATCAACAATAGGCACAGAAGCCAGTAAACTGATGTAATGAGTTGCTTTTTTAAAATAAGATTTGATCTTTAATTTGACACCACATTGTGAAACTGTATATTCAAAACATATGAGGTTGTAAATAAAAGCTGTGCCTGGTACATCTTACTCTCATCTCCTCAAGCGTGAAAGATAGAGCAGCATTGTACTGTAAAAAAAGGGCAAATTCAAGGAGACTGGACCACTTTGGACTGCAAGATAGTTCTGTACTAGGATTCAAAACCCTTAAAAATCTTAGTGAATTCATATATGAATGAATAAATGTGTCAAACTTGTCTAAAAACACTTTTGTGACACAATCCATGCACACCATTTAAAGAATTCCTCTAATATGATGAGAAATGAAAATCAAAAATAGTATAACATGAAAGTATAAGGCCGATCATTTTCCATATTAACAGTACTTTCAACACTCATACAAAGACTAAAACCGACAATGACTTGGCTCTACTCACAGTTAATGTCCATCAGTGTGTATTCACCTGTGCCTTAGATCTCAGTGAAACACACTGCTGCACTGGATGACATACAGTATTTCTTCATTAGCAAACCCCAGGACTGAGTGTGATCAGCCAGCAGAACGTAAACAAAGAAGAGAGCTTGCACAAGATCTCGCACATACGCAGTTGACTCTCACTCATGATAATTTAAGAAAATTACAGCCACTCAGAGACTTTGGGGCAACATAGTCGGGTCTGTGGTTTTGCAGTGAAAAAACGTCTCACCAACTGTGGCGGTGCGTTTCCCTGATGTCTTTTTAATGGTTTTTGAACAATAGTGGAGGTCTATCGCACGGACGAGCTAATCAAGGACTGACAGGATGAAAAACTGTATCGGTTTTAGGATCTGTATGGAGGTTGCTGAAATTATTAATATAGAAAATGACCGACCTTGTTCTTCAATGTTGGACTAACCAACTTCTCATCCTGCAAGAATGTCTGAAGATGAATTTGTGTATTTACACCCTGGAGGTTGCAAGCATGCAAAAGCATGGCTTTGTTTGAAAGCAGTAAGTTGAAAAAGTTGTTGAAATTGCCTGGATGTCTGTGCAGATTCTCAGTCATCCAGGTCATAGTAAACTGAAAAAAACCTTAGAAAAAATCAACTGGACTTAGATTTCTAGATTGAAGACGTTTCACCTCTCATCCAAGAGGCTTCATCACTTCCAATTGCCTGGAATCATTATTATATTATATAAAATGGTTCCTTTGAACCTGCATCACCTGATCAAGCCCTAGAAATCAATCAACCTTCAAAATGAGCTGCACGATTATCATACAGCAAAAATTAACAAGTGTCATTAAACCTATAGGCCTACGGCAAATGTATATCTAGTGTTTTAGTGACTTGTTACATTTCTTACAACGGGAATATGTGATTTTACCTGTGTGCCCATTTTTGTTGTCTCATGCTCGCTCTCTTCAGGTTAAAGCAGAGCTTAAGATGGAGAACCAAAGATTGAAGGATGAGAATGGAGCTTTAATCCGCGTCATCACTAAACTGTCAAAGTGAGACAGGACACAGAAAGAAGAGGGAAGGATGCCAGAACCCATATTTATATCTACTGTATACTGTACCCTGCTCTCATTACACTCATCCTGACCTCATAAAGAAAGTACATATGCACATACTGTAGTTTCCCAGTAATTTGGAAACCCAAATTCTTTCTTGTTTGTGTTGAAGACTGAGATGTCTTTATAAGGCAGGCTGATTTTCCATTGTATGTTTAGTAAATGAATATCCCCTCAATGTACTGTATTTAAACAAGTAACACATGTCTTAAATATTTCTACATAAGGACAAATTCCAACACAGTTTTTTTTTAACTGTATAAGCATATCAAGAATATCTCTGCATACATAAATGGACAAAATATTGCAGGTATTTCCACTGAGGTTCTGCCATAGCATCTGCAACATTTGGTCTATTACATATGCAAACCCTGACTACCGGCTCTGAGCTATTACGGACAGCAGGTGGTGGATGAGCTGCATTTCTCAGAAATGTGAGAATGTCATGTCTGATTTAAGAGTTTTAGGTTGAAATATGACATCACAAACGACAGGCTTTCCCTCTTAACCTGCACTATAAATACAACAAGACATATGAAAGATGGTCTGAGAAAGAGCAGGCCTGTTGTTTTTTGTCATAACTGTCAGCACCAAAGCAAAGTCAGACCTGCATGTAAGAGATGAATCAATTTGTTATTAACTCTTTGTCACTAGCTTTAGATTTTTGCCTTTTTTTAAAAACAAGTCATGGTAAATGACAAGAGAATTTCACCTCAAGGGAAATTTATTACAGTTGTTCTGGAGTTTTTGATCTGATTCTCGGGGGAAATGAACTTGTTTCTCTTGGCTGCTGTTTCCAAGTTCAGGAATTTAAGATTAACTTTAAGATTAAACCCCCATAAAGTTGTCTAAATAAATAAAATTGAAATCTGAGCATTTACATTCCCATGAAAAGTGGGCAAACATGACAGTCCAGTGCTGAAAGTTGCATAAGGGTTTCATGAAAAAAATCTAATTACACAGAATATGTAAAAAATAAATAAATAAATAAATAAAGTAGGAAGTTGATGTGACTTTCAGTGAAAGTCAAACTGTAACTTGCATACATGGCAAGAATTTGGATGGATATGTCTTATTAGATTTTTTTTAATAACCCCAGAACAGCACCCTCTAGAGGAGAGGATACAAAGTGCAGGAGACCTCAGAGGAGACGGAGCCAAGCAGTACATATTCCAAGTAAGCCCAGTAATAAGACCTTTCTGGTCAGAGATGCATAAAACAACAGAAGGTATATTTAATATGAATACACCTTTAAAGCTCTGCACTTTCATCTTAGGGAGTGTTGCTTTCCATTCAGGGCACGTCACTAAATATCTATTTGATATTTTGGCAGCTGCTTGTAAAAAAGAAAATACTGTGAGGGAAGCAGCCAGTGCCTCATAAAGAGGGAATGGACAGATATCATCAACAAAGTATACATAATGGAAACAGTTTATTTTTCATTTTGCCTACAAATGGTCGTGTTCAGAACGGGGTTCCTGTGTACAACAGTCATGGTCACATTTTGTGGAATTAACCAATCAATAAATCGTCTGTTGGAGAATTTGACACACATATATAAGTAAAAGGCTGCTTGATCTCCATCCAACATTTGTTTAAAAACTTAGTTTATTCACTGAGTTGTCTCTCAACATGCAGAACTCGATCTTTGTTGCCAAGCATCGCTCTTTTCAAAATGTAAACACAGTAGTTATTTATATAGGACATAGACTGTTTAAAGAAAAAAGGATAACAAGAACAGAAAGGCTCTAAGTCATGGTTCACTGACAGCAAAGCTTCACTGCAGGTTTATATCTTTGTAGCTGCTGATATGTTCTCAACTACTCAATAAACAAAGAATAAAAAAGAGATAATAAGAAAAGTGGATAAACATCTAGTGATGATCCAAGAGTAAAGGTCAGTAACAAAGTTTGACCCTAAAGTAATTGTCGTCAGCAGTGACGTACAAAGCATCCCAATCTCTTCTGGCTATCACTTATCTTGTGTGTGTGTTTAGAGGATTTAATGAGTCCCTTTTAAAATCTTCTTCTTGTGGAATTCCTGCCAGGCTGAGATATTACTTTCAATTCGATTTATATTTAATTTTCACTTTATATATCATGACTAATCTGAGGAGGAGTCCTAAAATTGGCTCCGTTTTTGAGGAGGCATCCGTAAAATGGCATGTATATTATTCACTTACTGTATTCACTCAAAATAAGACAGACTGCAGTGCAGTGTCCTGGTTGGTTATACTACAGATGTGCTGCATTTTAGTTTGGTTTATCAGCCTTGTGTTGTTGTTACATTTGTACTGCATCATAGCATTTAGTAAAACATGTAATTCTCAGTGCTGTTTTCTGGCATTTCTCTCAAGCTGTACAGTATATGATGCCATCCACTGACCACATGTGGAAAGACATCCTCTAATTACATTTACACACCACATAGAGCAAGGCTACTTAAAATGCCTTTATTTCCTATGATTACCTTTTGACAACACATAGACAAGTCCTGACCACATCCTAGATTTGGGTTCCCTTGAGTCATTCAGGGCTACAATGACTAATATATGAGTACATTTTTTTCTATCCTTTTGCTTCTATTTTTGCAGGAAAACATGGATTTTTGTAAGGAAATAAATCATGCAGTTTACAAAAAGACAACTATTGACACACTACAACGAGACACAAACAAGAGTCAAGTTCAAGCAGTTCTCTTGTCTGTTGCTCAGTGAGTAAATGCATGAATGAGTAGGTTGACGATCAAGTCTTTGGTTGTTTATCTTGACTATATTCACATAAGAGGATTGTGACAAACAAGGAAGCATTACTGAAGCTCAGGCTGGCAGCATCGCATTGTGACTGTTGCTCTGCAGTGTGCGGGTCTGCTCTGTGTGAGACCCAGGAAGATAGGGATTCTGTTGCTGCATCACAGAGAGTTGGCAAAATGATGTAGTTCATTAAAAGAACACCAATAAACAAACACAGTTGCTAATGGTCATATTGTAAATACATAAAAAGGCATCATCTGGCCGCTGCTCACATTATACATAGATGAGAGTGAGTATATAAAATAACCCCAGGGGGGGAAAAAAGACCTTTGTAGCATATGATGTAATGAGGTGCTTCTTTACATTAAGATCGGAACTTAAAATTGACACCACACTGTGAAGATGAATCTTAAGAATAGACTTGATATTAAAAATGTGAAATGTGTCTGGTCCGTCTCCCTCTTAGTCCCTCGACAATCTGATACTACTTTCGGCCGTTCCTGTTAGGGGTCCCCACAGCGAATCAACTGTTCACATGCATACAATTGGCAAGCGTTTTACGCCAGATAAACTTCCTGACGCAACCCAAATTGGGATACATATATGCATATACACTAATGTGGGCAATTTAGAGTTGCCAATCAACCTAATCATGTCTTTGGACTGTGGGAGGAAGCCAGAGTACCTGAAGAGAACCCACTCAAGCACATGCAAGCTCCACACAGAAAGGCCCCGAACCTGGAAACTTCTTGCTATGAGGCAACAGTGCTAACCACTGCACCACCGTGCTGCCCCTCTTAGTCTCTTGACAATAAGAGACATAAATACATGATACTGGACTGTCATAAAGCTTAGGATTGCTCAGTTTCATATAGTCTACGTTATACATAAAGGTTTATCTAATATTAAATGGCACAAACCAAAACAATCACATGGTACAACCACGGTGCAAACAAATCCCCACATGAAAGACGTCACGGTGGACACAGCATCTCAGAACATGCACAAAAATCTCAACAGCAGCTCATCCCTTTACAATAAATTAGTTATACTGTGTGTTCAAAATGACTTTTGTGATGAAAAGATGATTCATTTTGGTTAATTACCAAACTGGACAATATACCATAATAATATTTCACAGAACTAACTCATTAAAGCAATAAAATTAATAAAATAAAAAAAAACAGAGTTTGGTTTTCTTTATATGCAAACTAGAGAGTGTAAACGTTTGCCAAGGCAGCTCAGTTTTTCCATAATGCCATTAGAAAATATTTGGATTGTAATAGATAGTTCTGTGGGCCACAAGCTCCTTCTCCAAAAAATGTTATCATCAAAATCCATTTTTATAACTCTTTGAGATTTGCTGTGAACAAACCAACAAATAAACCAACTAAACCCAACAAAAACAGAATCTCCTTGGCAGAGGTAATTACTGACTTCACTTTTAATGCATGATTAGACATGTGAGAGCAGGTTTATTTGAGCAGCAATAAGATGAATATGGACAATTTAATGAAGTACACGAGAGAAAAAAAAAGGTATTACAAGTCCATTACATTTAATTAACTTAGCCTCGACACCTATCTGGCAGAAGTAAATGAAGGAAATAGTGTAAACTGATATAGAAAATCAGGGAGATGGCAAATATTCTCCTTTTTTGGAATATAAACAGTTTTCTGGTTATCAACCAGCATATACTGTGTAAGTGCAAGCAGAAATGAAGAACATTTAAATGACTTGTAGCCCAGGCATACTGCAACACTGGATTTAGCAGAGAGGACGCATACACATGGTGACAGAAACTGATTTGTCAGTCATGAGGTATCATGGCAAATGAAGTGAGTTTCCACACATGACACACAGAGCAACTCTGCTTTAATTCCAGGCATTAAAGGAGCCCAAGAACCTTAACATGGATTATTCAGATATACATTCAGCAAAAAATACATACACTTTGCAGTCAGTGCATTGTGTTTGTTGTTTAAAACTCTGTTTTATTATAAAAATGACACAGAACACAAACACACATACACAGTATAATTATGGTTCCTCTTTAGAACATGCTACTATTTACATCATTGTTTAAATTCATGCTGTAGCCTATTAACACATTTGCGTAATGCATAATGTTAACAACAGGAAGAAGAAGAAGAAGTATTTGTCTGGACCAATCAGTGTGCTGCTCTTTACCCAGCGCTAGTCATTTTTCTTTCTGGTGACAACACAGGGGCCAAGAAAGACTGTAAGAATTTAAATTTTATAAGCAACTATGCAGCTAATTCTGAAGTATAACCACCACAAATACTTCATGTTGACATATAAATACCACTGTAATTTCAGAATTGAAACATTTTACGTTGAAAACATTTCTTGTGAATTCATCTCCTTTCTTTTTGAAATTTCCAGGTAGTTTCAAGTTTTGCAGTGTTTTTTTTCCCGCTTGATTTACACAAATTCAGGGAGAAAAACTAAAGTATGCTGGGAACAAACTCATTCATTTTAAAGGCTCTTTCATTGATGATGTGACTGATAAAACATTATCTATAGAACAACAGTTCTCACTTTCCTTTGTCAGATTTACCCCCAGTTCAGTTATTCCTTCATTGACATCCAATATCATCTTCCTAATGCATTTTTACATTTATTTTGAACCAGATATTATTGAACACTATTGATTTTACACTCTTAATTATTTTTCCTATAATATATGCTGACACTGGTACCTGTTTTTCAGTAGATCTTACAATGACCACTTGGAGTGACAGCAGCTAAGATTTATTAGGGTGTCCTGTGCGTTCAGTCAACCTTATCCAATAGTCTGTTGGTTACTGTGACAATAAATATACTAAAAACTGGCATCACACCAATTTGAGCATCTATTTATGGTTTATTTTACCCCAAGACCCTAATATGGGGATTGTCTGTTTGGAGTTTTATTAAACCATAATTACTTTCTTCATATATTTTCTTAGTTATGGAGAGTCCCTGGGACACGAAGGCCCCTGGCTGGGAGGACAGACTGGATTGGTTATCATTAGTAGCCTGGATGTTCCTGTTTTCATCTTGGATTTTGGAACTTACTGTAACTCAGATTTTTAGATCCAGAAGTGTCCACATTAATCTAAAAACATTGGCTTTTCTGTTTGAATGTGTGAATCCTAAAACAAAACACTTAGAATCTGAAAGCTGGAGATTCTAAAGAGACATTTTCCAACCACATGAATTCAGACAAATGGTTTTCCAAGTAAATTGTATTAATCCTATAAATTCAACAGTAAAAAGCCATTTTTAACTTTGTCATTAGGTGTTTAGCTGCTCAAAAGACTCAAATTCTTGTGGCTGTTTTACTTGCACTCCTCTGCACACTAGCAGGTATGTCTGTGAAGTTATACCACAATCACATCATGTTGCAGCACTTTGGCTCCAGGTTTGCAAAGCTTGTGTCTGATGTATGAGAGGTCCAAAGAACATGAAAATACTGCAAGGCATGATACATGCTCGATTCTGCAGCTCTATTTGGATAAAGCAAACGGCTCTGGATATGTACTGCATGTTGTATTAGAGGTTTTGTTTGATGTAACACTTGCCATGTTGAGATTTTTTTTTAAACCTGCATTTTGCACATGAATTCGCCTTCTCTTAACAAGTGAAGCTGCATCTTACATTTCAGGTTCAATTCTCTATAAAAACATCTTGTCTTTGACAGAAATCTCATGTTGTTTCTTCAGAAACTATTGAAGCGGACTACAATATGTAGGGTAAACTACAGCATGAGTTAAAGAAAGGCATATAATCTGTTTAATGGATTTCAAAATAAAATAAGATAGATGGCACTGTTTTAGGAAGCAACAGCATAAATCAAGAGAACCACAGTTAAAACTGTCATTGGTAAGCCTTCTAAAATCCTTACTTTGTCCATGGACAAGTAAGGTTTCACATCCAAATGGTCAACACAGCTCAAGACAGACTTCAGATGGCACATTCAGTGTCCATTGCTACTTTTGAATGACCTTCACTATGTAAAAAAAAATTCTTTCTTAATTAAACAGTGAAGCTAATGTACTTCCTACTGCTGTGTCACATCAGGAAAGGCACCCTCGTATTCATGTCCTACAGTAGATCTGTCCCATGGCACAGAAATGTTTATTGCACCTAAATGCATAGATGGTTCCTTTGTGGCAACACAAAATAAGCAACAAAGAACAGTGTTATCCCTGCCATACTGTGTATTACTGTACTGTATGTATCTCCTTCTCAAATATGAGATAATAAAATGAAGATAGATTTGTCTTATATGCTCTTGCAACATGAATTGCTTTATTTGGTGACTTTGACTTTATTCTTTCTCTATTAAATCAGTTTGCATTAATAACTCTGCAGAAAATAAGTCAATACTACAGTACTCTCTATTGTTAAGTTATAGCACACTTATTAGCGAGATACAATACAGAATGTGGTGTATGCAGATTAGTGGGGGAGGTAAATAAAGCATGCTCTATAAACAAAAGATTATTTCCAGCATGGTCTTTCCCAAGACTTCCATTCAGTATCAGCACCCTAAGAATCAGTTTCTAAGTTTCTTCAAATAAAAGAAGTCAATCATTTATGAATCAGTCACCCAATAAGTCAATGCCACTCCTCTCAGTATACACTAATGAGTGAAATGTGATGCTTATAAAGAGTTTTTATGAATTAACCATGAATGAGCAGATATTTTAGGATGTCTCTTTTTTTGCTGAGCAGGTTTCATGACGAGTTGTCATGTATTAAGTCATGGGTTTCATGCAAAGTAGGGGTTGGGGTTGATTTCTGAGTTAACGCATTAGCTGGTTGGTGAAGCATGTTACTTCTTTGCAGCCAAGGATGCCAGCTGACCATCAATATCCTCCTCAGGCTGCAATGGATGCCACTGGGCAATGGGGCGGCGTGGATTAGCCAACATGTCAGACCAGTGCTTCAGACCTAAGCCAGTTGCCTTGCTGCCCACAAAGATTTTTCCAATGGCGTCATTCTTACCAATCTTGTCATAATCAAACACTGTGACTGCCACCAAGATTTTCTAAGTAGGGAACAAAAGAGAATTTGAAATTTCTGTGTTATTAGCTTATCACATCATTAAAATATCAATGCAAGTTCATTTAAAAAGCACCTTAAAAGAAAAAAGACCAGGTCTGACTTGTACTGTACCTGCATCTGTTCTAGGGGGATTTCAAAACTGAAGGATTCATTATAATATGGGTTCAAAGTGTTCTTCTTCACTGTCGTCTTCTTTTTCTTCAGACGCTTCCCCCCCTGCAGCAGCTGGATCTTTACATAGGGATCTGCAAATTGTCAATATGATCAGCAATAGAGAAAATCAAGTTTTAGTAGCATTGTTTAAGGTTCTGCTGATATTTCTACAATGTATTCCTTCACTTTAATGTTCTGACTGACTTCTGTATCACTTTGTCATCACATTCTATGTGCACTTGGACTTGGAGAATTACAAATAAAGGACAAAGCACGGGTATCTTTTATTTTATCACCCTGACAAATGCCTGAAGTGTCCAAAAGCTTCTATTTAACATTAAAAAGCTACAGTAAGTGTGCAGAGATTCTTTTCTCCATTTTTACTGTTTATATTACAATATAATGCATTTTAAATGCTCAAAACCACAATCATAAAAACCTTTCTTACAAGCACCAACCCCCAAAAAATGTAGTCATGTAAATCTTTTTTACAACAGTTTGAACAGATTATTCTACCAGATAATCCACAGGCGTCCATCTTTTTCAGGTTCTTCGCCTCCAGGATGCAGACGGTGAGTTTCCCGGCGGTGGGGACATAACGAAGGGAGATGCAGATGTCTCCGAGTTTCTCGGGCTGAGCAGTCAGCACAAAGACAAGAGACAGAAATGACACATGCTCATTAGAAAATAGCAACACACAGCTGGTTATAGACTGATACAAAGTGCTCTCGGCCACTGTCTGCTGTATATTAAAATATACTCTTAAGCAGATATCAAGGTCTTTTTGTCCTTGTGGCAACTTGCTCAGTTGTAATTGCTTAGAATTGCACAGTTCTATCAAGATCCAGGGCAGACCTGAGATTCTGAGCCTCAAATGTTTTAGCATCTACTGAGATTACTGAGTTAGCAAAGTAAATGTAACATATCATTAATTATTTAAACATATTTCAGCCTCATATTTAATAGACACACCAGTGTCTTTTGGATACATTTCTGAACATTTGTTGCATTAATATAAGAAAAACAATCCATACAGTGATTCTGCTGATTGCCTGAGTGTTTCTGCAGTTTCATAAAATACATCTTTTTGCAACTTACTGTTATTGATCACTTAACTGAATTATCCTTAAAGGTTAAGGCCGGTGTTTTTCTGTATATTTTTCCTTGCTTAAACCTAAACCATACACATTTTGGGGACTTTTTTTCAGATACTGATCGACACCAATTTGGTGCTAGAGAATATTAATAGCAGTATAATTATGATGTACATATAATTGTAATTCGTTGTAATGATTGGGTTATTTCACCCTGTGCAGTGCTGTGGTGCACTGATGTCCACTGAAGTAAACCATAACAGCCTTTAGGTAGTAGAATCAAGTCATTGTTTGCAATAGTATATTCATGGGATTTGTTGGCAGTAATACAGTACTATCGCCACACTTATTTGATTCTCGACAGCACCTCCTCTTGATCAGCACTCTCCAGATCCCGCCACTCCTCGATTGGCCGTCCAAGGTCAATGGTGTTCATGGGAAGCTTCACCTCTCCAATGACGTCGTGCTTGGAAAATCGGTCATAGTCATAAACAGACATCACCAGGGTCTTCCCACCGAGCTCCTCATAGGGCACCTGATGAACAGGCAGAGGGTTATGGCTTTTTTTTTTCCTCATTAGTGTTAGGCTATTAAAATGAATTACATTCTCAAATATGAGTAAATTAAAAGAAAAGTTCAGAAACTAGTTTTAAAAAGTTTACTAAATACTAGATTACATATTTTCAAAAGGGGTTTCATCATGTGCTCATATGAACCTGTGCAACAACAGGAAAGCCAGATTGACTGGAGAAGATCATTATCTGGGCTTTACTATTTCAGGTAATAACCTGTAAATGATTCAAAGCAGAAAAAGAAAAGCTTTTCTCACCTAAATAAATGATACGCTCCAGCTATCATCCTTTGCAGACACCCTGTTTAGACTTAATAAAAATATTTCAAGTTCAAAAAGTACAAAGTATCGGAAATGAATCTAAACAGTCAAAGGCACTCTGTAGAACAGAATTGGTTTTTGTTTCTGCCGCAAATTTGCAGACAGGCAAAGGTTCCAGAATGACCCAGAGTCACTTGTAATGTCTCTGTAGGCCTTATTAGCCAGGACAGAAATGAGCAGCAAGTGGGTATACACACCCAGGGAAACTCAACAAGACACAATAAAGTCTTAGCACACTTACACAGTATGAAGGACACACAGACGGGGGTGAAGATGACTTCTCACAGTCATCCGTGTGTGTCTTACTGTATGTCTCTCTTTGTGTTTTCAGCACCACAGGTTAATATGAAAGCAAGATGTACACCTTTTCAGCACCAATTTCTGTGTATGCTATCACTGCAATAATGTACAAAGAAACTTACCTTGAAGACAAAAGTCTCATTGAAGACAGGGTTCAGTGTTTTCTTGTGCACTTTGGTATCAAACTTCTTCTTCTTGTCAGGGAAGAGCAGGACTCTAACGTAAGGATCAGAGGTTCCACCTGAGTCCATGGACATGAGGTCGGCAGCTTGAAGGATGCCAACCGTAAGCTGTATGCAGAGGGCAGAATGTAGATGACACGAACCGTCAAAACAGAATTTCATCAGGCATAAAAAAAAAAAAAGAATCTTGTTAAAAAACATCATCTGACAACTTAAGCCTCATAATCAATGACCACAAATGTCTTGTCTGACTTTAGTGTCACACGGTTGTCAGTAATATTAAAAAAAAAATTTCTCTACTACAGAATATTGTATTTTTCTACGCAGCATTTATATACACATTGTAAGTATAACTTTAATCCTGGTCTTTGTTCTGTTTTATTTTGATTTAATTTAAGGCCAACCACTGACAGTATGTGAGAAGAAGAGTTGGAGAGAGGAGGAAGATCGAGTGCCTGTAGCCGTCAGTGAAACACGATGGAGGGTCTGTCATAGTTTCAAGACTTCAACACAGTCTCCACAAAAGAATTGAAGGGAGCTAAGTGCTAAGTGCTAAGCAAGGTCACACCAAACAATGACTTTGGACTCTAGAAGCCATTTTGCTTCGAACATTTTGTGTTATAGATAGATGAACTATCTCTACAACTTTGCTAAAACAGCAAAACTACAAAACTAATGATGGCCTAAGAATTTTGCACAGTACTGTGTTTGCAGGGATTACTTTGACATTTTGAGAAATGCACTTAATTGCTTTCTTGCTGAGAGCCAGATGAGAATAGCACCACTCTTATATTATATCTGTCTGTTAAATATAAGGATGCAGCCAGCAGGTTATCCATTTGTTCCTCTTTGCAGTCTTTCTGGTAAAATAACCCAGACAGCTGCTGTTTGTTCCTTCATATTCAATCTAAGGACAAGAGAGTGGTATCAGTTTTTTCATCTAATAGGGAATATGCCACTATGTTAAACTATGGAGACATGAAAAATTCCGATTTTACACAGCTGAAATTGTTCCTTGTGTTAACAAAATAACAGCATTTCTTCTAAAGTGTTAAAACATGTGACAACCACAGACCTTTGTATTTTCAAAGTCATAATCTATAGAGTATTGCAGCTTCCCCAGTTTTTCTTGTTCTTTCTCCTCTTCCTCCTTCTCCTCCTCTGTCAGTCCAGTTTCTCCCTCGTCATCATCATCATCCTGGGGTTTCTGTGGTGTGATGGTAACAAAACAAGACACGATGTTATAAGTCAGAGGACTGGGGATCAGGCTACAGGAATCCCCACAATAGCCAGCATGCCACAAACACTGGAGCTCCAGGAGATTTTTACGTGGGAGTTACATGTTTTGGTTACCGCTTACCTGCACAGCACCTGATGATAATAACCAGGAATTTATTATTTACAAGAGGAGAAATGTCTATTGTTTACATAAATCAATACAGTGCATGTTTATACTTTAGAATAATTCTGCACACCTCGTCTTCAGTGTTTTTGAATCGTGGGATAATTTCTTTGACATGCTTGTGCAGTACAGTGACAGCCAGTGTCAATGGAGGCATTGCATGCTAGTTCCACTAAGAGGGGTAACTGCAATAGCTTAAAAAAATAAATATAAGGACACATCTCTTGTTTGTCAAAGGACTGATTTTCAAGGTCTTCAATTTCACCAAATGGTAAATATTTTGTTGAGGACCCCTAAGGAACTAGCTCACAACTGCAAATGCCAGTGCATATTAAATGATAAAAGGCAAATAAGACATACTATTCAGTGCAGGAGATGGTTTTCAAACAACCTTTTGCTGACCCAGACTTTTTTTTTTGAATGTGTTGTTGTATTAAAACCCTACACTCACAGTTTTCATATTTCAAACTTTAACCTGCATATGTTATTTCACCTTTAAATTTAAGTGGCACCAAAATGCCTCCCTTTTCAGTTCATTGTTACTACAATAAATAGTCCAGGATTAAAGGGCAAGGACAACTATTCGAATAAAGTTAGTCTTATTATTTCTGCGGTATTAAATTAGAGCGTCAGAGTGCCACGGTGCTGAGTCCCAAAACCTGGTACTGGGTTAACATTTTTCACTTCTGGTCCCCTTGCCCTCACGTCTGTGTATTTTTTGAATGGGTTTTGTTTAGACACCTGAAATGAGGTCTGTGGTTAACACAAGGTCTAAAGATTGTCATGTTTTGTTTTATGAAATAAAATACTGTATGTTAGTAAACACCCTGCTCATGATTTTTAAGTTTTTATGTGTATTAAAAAGGTAAACAAGTGACTAAATGAGACTACAGAGGCTGTCACAGATATTAACTCACAGAGATTCATCTGCTCACTAGGCCGCCTTTACAGTCTCTTTATGTTTAAACTCACGCACTTGCAAACCATTCTAACTGACACAGCCGTGATCACTAACAAAATCCTGTCACACTAAGAGGAAAGGATTTTGTAGAAGAGGTAAGTGCAGTAAGTTGGAAGCCACGATGATGACGATGAAGCCATGGGGCCCCGTGGTGTATTTTTTTGATAGTCTAACATTGCTTTTTTTTTTTTTTTTTTACTTCTGGCTTAAAAAATTATAAAAGTGGTGTTCACTTGTGATGACTATCTTGCTGAACAAAACACGCAAGTGTCATAAACCATTGGTTTTCACAGAGAAATCCCTTTGGCTTTCTGTCGAGAAAACCAGGGTGATGCCAACTTACGGGTTGGCATACATTATCTATAGGGCACTCTGTTGCAAAGATGAGTTTGAGTTTTAATATTTAAATCTTTTTTCAGGCCACCCCACGTCTCCCCATTCTACCTTCTCCTTGAGTATTGCAACCTAAATACAGATTTTTGAGTATTTGGCTCATCATGCAGTTTTATCATCATTGTTTCCATGTCTCCCAAACAACCAACCATGCCCTTTATCACATGCATTGATTATTAGTGTTAAAAGTGTCTTGCATATCATCTCTTCATCCAATACTTTCCATATTGGTGTAAGTTACAGTTACATTGTCCCAGGAACAATGTGTTAGATGGTTAGACCCTCCTCTCTGGGGTTTATGGAGCACATCATAGCTTTCCATTCTCAAGCTGTCATAACATAAAAAAAAACTAGGGAGACAAAGAAAAAAGCAAAGGAAGCTACAACTTTCATTCCATGAACCCCCCCCCTCCGCCCCTGGGGCCAGAGAGTGTCAACGTGAGCTGTCCACCTACCGTAGAGCAGGAGTCCACCACAGTCAAGAAACACGAGGCACACACAAGACAGACACAAAGCAGGAAAAAAAGGAGGAGAGCAGAGAGAGGAAGAGATTCAACTCACAAGACACCAAACACACTACAAAAAGAGAGGTAGTCGACACCACCACCACCACAGCTAAGATGAGAAATGACACACTTGTTTTAGCTGAGGACAATAAATTCACACTGTGGACACTAACTGATTACTTTAATTAACCGTCACTGGAGCGCAAGGCAACATATGGTGATGTCAGCTAATTAACCCCCAAATCATTTGCTTTTCTAGCATTTATCCTCTAATTTACTGCACTTTGCATCCAACCATAGCCGCTCTAGGCCTTCATCAATGCAGTGTTTAATGCTTGGATCTTCTAAAAAAATAAAATAAAATAAAACTTTGCACCTCACAGTGCTCATTAGTCTTTGCCGCTTTGAAACAGTGTGTCATTTTTCACCACAAGTCACAATGGGATACATCGTGACCTTGTTCAGAGCAGGACAGGTGTTCACATACTGTATTATTTCTGTCTGTCCATTCAGCTGCAGCCTGGGCTAAAACAGCTGCTGGCAAAAGATCAAATCTGGTTAGCCAGACACATTTAAATGAATAAAAATTAATGCCATAAAAATAATGAAAGTATGAATAAATAATTAAAAGTAGCATAGTGGAAAGGAAGAAGAGAAAAGCATCACTCAACACATCCTGTTTCCCTGACTTTTCAGCAAGTAGGAAGTATGAGGCATCATACCTCACCACCCTGCATGTTCTTCATGTTGAAGCCATCCTTGCCCTTCTTCCCTTTCTTGTTCTTTTTCTTCTTGCAGCAACATTTTTTGATTATGCAAAAGCAGCAGGTGAGGATGAGCAAGGCGGCCACCACAGCAATGGCAATCAAAGCCCATGGAGGCACTGTCAGTTTCCAAACAGAGAAAAAAAGTAATATTTTGACAAATTATAAAGCATTTTGAACCTCAACAGGAGTCGGGAATGCATTGCAAGAATGCTTACATGGGATTTTATCAATTTCATTCAAGAATTTGCTCTTGATTTCTTCAAACGCGTTCCTGGTGATCTCTGTGTTGTTGGAGCCAGAGGTGTCCATGGCAGTGGTAGAGATGGCAGCTGGGGTGGGCGTGTTGGTCACGGTGGTGGCACCAGTGGGCTCGGCGGCCGCCCCGGCCTGTGACCCTCTGAACAAGTTGAACTTCATTGTCAAAGACTAGGCGCAGTGTCCCTGAGACACACAGAGTTCAGAGAGGACAGATAAACCAAGATAAATAGCTGCAGTGTGACTTCACAGATGAGAAACAAAAGTGACTGATGCCAATAGGCTGGTCACTTAAAGACAAACAGATTAAAGATTTTGCTAAAAATGGTTGTTACAAACATTTAGCACATTTGGCTGCAGAACACAATATTGAATACATCTGACCAGTGTTCAGTTTCTTCTGGCTGAGTGGTCCACTGGAAAAAGACTAAACTGATGTGAACAAACAGTGATGAAACAATAAGTCAGGTAATAAATTAGTAGACTGACAGAATATTGAACAAAAGTTCTGATTGCCCCAGGTTCCTGCTTCTCAAATGTGAAACATAACTAGAATTTCTTTGAATTTGGGCTGTTGCCTGGACAGAATAAACAGTTTAAAATGTCACTTTAGGAACCTTTTTTTTTTTCAAATAGTCTGACATAGTCGACTAAATTATTAATCAATCATCTTAATGATAAAAATAAAAAACAATTAAAATGAAAGTGATATCTAGGTTCAGCCCAGCCTAACAGCTATTTAAGTTAATTTTTTAAGCCATTATGAACAAGAAAACAGAAATCTGTTGGTGAAAATCAAAATGAAAACAGCTACTAAGTGGAGCTTGTGGTGGGAGGCAGTTTTCACTGCTGTTTCTAAGGTCAAGGATGAACTTTGAACCTCAGCTTTTATTTAAGTTACCACAAATGAGAAACACTAAAAAAGTGGAAAACTGGACTGGGCAAACTCCAGCTGATTATAAAGGTCAAGGGGTATGAAGCGCCTTAAAATATTGTAACTACTTTTATAATTTACCTATGGATAAAGATGGTCCCATCTGTTTGAGGAGTGATGAAGATCAAGAGCTGCAATAAACATACTGAACCCTGTGAAAGTTGGAGGGATGTAATAACAGACAACCCCAAAGTCATCACAATCAATTCTGAGCATTGTTAGTGAAGGATTAAACAGAAACCCGTTATGTAAATGACCATAAATCCTCAACAAAGAAATTGTATAGGATATAAAAGCCCTAAAAGTTGAGACATCAATTATGCTGATGATGTGACAATTTACTGTCTGTCTGAAGAATGCGCAGAAACTGATATGATTATCCTCCCCACTTTGAGCACAATGATCTGCCAGAACAGAAGAAATCCCAAAGAAAGACCAGAACAGATGCTGTAAGGAGGCAGGGAGACTGTTAATTGGTAAAGGCATAATAGAGAAGCTGGATACTGCTATAGTGTGTCTTCTGTTAAATATGAAGTTAGAGCCAGGCACCAGTCAGCTTAGCTTAGCTAAGAACTGAATAACAATATCTGAATACTTGATATAATACAATAGGAGGAGCTGATGAATGAGTTACTTGTCTGAGAACCAAAGTGTTTCACTTCCTAGTTTCAGCTTCCACTGATTAGTTAGTATAGAAAACAAATGGCAGATCAATTATTTATCATTTTTATTAGTTGCAGTTCTTAAGTAGAATGAACTTGACACTAAAATTAAATGACAAGGCTGCAGTCTACAGTAAATCACTGTCGCCACAAATCAGAGACTAATCAAAATGTCTCTTCACAAAGCTCCATCTTTTATATCCTCTGGAAATTCAGGCCACCACAAACACCTGATAAAATCAATTTACCTCCCAGCCTCGAGCGAGTATTATATTATTTATTCTCCGTCCACTCTTTGCATGACTATATGAGCAACAGCAGCATTAGCGTTTACTGCTGAGCGTGAAGCTATTGACGCTCTGGTCTAAATGAGAAAAATGCTGCAGACAAACATTTGACAACTGTAGCATGCATTCAATCTAGATTCAATTAGAACAAATGCATTTTAATTTGGTGCAGACAAAGGATATCTTCTTTCTTTTAGTAATTTATTTGAATAAAGCAGACAGCACTGTGGAGTGCAGTTTTGTGGTTCCATTCAGTGTTTTTCCTGCAGTAGCCTATGATACATTTCTGGGAACGGACTGTCTGACTGGTATTATTTTCACTACTGAACATGAAGATTTAGATGCAGCATTTGCACTTTCATGCCCCCTCCAGGTCAACGTAATGCCAAAGAAGAATTGGCAACTTGACAACCTTGTTCACTTGTTCTGTAGCTACAGCACCACCGTGCTTATTAGTTTTTGCTTCAGGGTGAAAAATTCAAAGGACAAAGTGTTTTGATGGGAAACACCACGAAATTAATACAGTTTCAAGGAAGCAGAGAGATGTGATTCTGTCTGTTATATTAATCCTTTGTAGCTGTATATTACTGCTGCAACTGTTGAGCCATTGTCTTGTGGAGATAGACAGGCTTTTTTTTCAGGAAAAAATGAGGTGTACATGTGCATGTGCCTGAGTGTGTACGTGGGAGTACGTCTCAGTATCAGTGCTGAATTTTTTTTGTTTTATCTCCCTGTAAAAGCACCATAAAGAAAAGAATCTGTCTCAGTTTAAAAGACGGACTGTTAACATCAACTGTTTGAATGAGAAAGGGCAACAGCTGAGTGCAGGGTTCCACAAACGCAAACACACAAGTTCATGTGTCAAATTAAAATGATATAGAGTGAATCTTTTGCTACAAAGGTGTTTTGCTAAGCAGGCACACAGTAAATGTGAGGATTTGTGCATGAAAGTGACTTGGCAGACCTCAGACTTCTCCATCAGCATCTGGCAAACACAATAGCCTCATCCTCAGTGGCTCACAGTCCACCGGTCGATACGTTTTTCATTCCAGCATGTGTTTAAGGGTGACCTTAAATCCCTACTCTCATCTCAGTTGGTAGGATTTGTCGTCAAACACACACTGTTCACATACAGTAGAGGCCTGTGTGTTGTTTGCCAGCTGATCATTGTTGCTAAGCAATCCTGACAGTCTATCCAGAACTGCCCACAAACTGCCTATAGCTGAGGTGATGAGCCAAACAAATAACCTGATGGCTTAATAAGGCCAGTCTCAAGTCACCATCTGAGTGATGAGCATGTGCATGATATGAATGCCAACTGCTAAGGTTTATCTGCAACAGGCGTCCTTCCTAAAAAATTAACAACCACTTTATGTTGGTACAAAGAAACATCATCTCTAATCACCTCGGATGAAACAGTAGCTATAACAAACCAAAATTCATGACAATTCCTGCTTTCTTGATCACAGCAAAAACTCAACACTCTAACTTCCTTAACTTAGCTTATGCTTTCTGTTTGCAGTGAGAGGAACAGTGATGACAACACAAGCACACCAGAACACATCCATGGGCCCCCCTTTCTAGTTTTAACTTAGTGTTTACCTCTGTGCCATTAGTGCTCAGTCCTTATCAGTACTGACCGGCATCATATATCCACACACAAAAGGCTCTGACTCATCCTGATTCACAAGGATATTCATGTACAGAGAATACGGCCACAAATTAATAGTTCACAGTCAGTCATTTAAAACACTCTAAAATAGCTGCTCTATGTTCTGGTTGAATGTTTTGATCATATTCATATCACATAACTGCTCTGTAATTTAAAAGATCCAAAACAAAACTCACCAGTCAGATGTGGTGTTCACCTTCACGAGGCAGCCCATCCAATATCAATAACTGTTTGGACTACAGTTGCTCAGAGCTGTGGTAGCATAGCCTGAGCTCCCCACAAGCAGCGACTGCAGTCTCTTCACTGCAGTACTACACCCCCCTCCCCTTCCAATGCACACTATCTCCCCAGTTTTCCACCCTTCTGTCACACACCTCCCTACTCCCTCTTTGTCTCTCCCTCAGTGTACTCATACACGCAGCCTTCTTACCTCTTCCCCCACCCCCCTTCAACCTCATTTGCGATGCAGCTCACACAACTGATTGCAGCATGCCGCTCTTTGGTCCAGCATTAGAGGGAAGTTGTAAAAGATCAATATGCACAAGCACTGGGATGTGGCATGTTTGAATAAAGCCACAGTTTGCACAGATCAGAGGTGCACCTCAGCAGGATACAAGCCTAGGTGGCCCAGGTAGAAGGACGGCAGACACACTCTTAAGAGTGTGTTGACCGCATCATCTCCACAGTGGACATTTCACTGGGCCCCTACAATTAATTGGATCTCAACAATTGATCTCAGAAGTGCCATATAACCCACTGAAGGGATCCTTGCTTGTTAAACCCATTCATAACAAACAAGTGAAACCAAGAATGATTTGGTCAACTTGTCTGCTTTTCATTGGCTCCTCAGGGGACTTGTCAGTGATGACTAGAAGAGAACAGATTGCAAAGCATCTTGTCCAGCTGCAATACAAACAAAACTGTAGCCCACAGTGTCAGGTTAAAGTGTAACCTCATGAAATAACTCATGTCTGACCAAGAAGACAAAAACTACTTAAATACCTAAATGACCAGCATATGCATATACACACATTTTGACAGAACAGTTTTCAGATAAATATATCCAGTGGTATATTTACAAGTTATTGCACTGAGGACTTTTGTCCTGTTATACAGTCATGGGTTAATTGTTTGTCAGTGTGATGGCCTGGGGGAAGAAACCATCCCTGTGCCTGGTTGTCTTGGTGCACAGTGACGTGAAACGCTGTCCAGAGGGGAGGAGTTGTTAGAGTGATTTTTATTTTATGCACTATAACTAAATTACTGAATTTCATTAGATTTATGGCTGTAGCTAAGGGAGCTCATAGTTACTTATCGTTCCTCTGGACCGGCGGACCCAAAGGAGTCTTGCTACGGTAAGGCTCCAAATTTATTAAAATAGATTAGACGTAGATGAGAAAGCGTCAAAGGGAAAACAGTTATGCACACACACGCAGGCAGAACAGTTTTAATTAAGTGAAACGGAAAGCAATGCGTAATATAGAGCAGTTAGTTGAAACCAAAGGAAGAAGTGAGTGTGTATGTAGGAATTAAAGTAGAACAGGTATTCTTCCCCTTCCTAGGGCGCTGTCCACGATGATTGGAGCAGAGAAGACGATTGGAGGACGGACGGATTGAAGGACCAATAACGG